TGGACTGTGGGAGGAAGCCGGAGAACCCGGAGAGAACCCACGCTGCACGGGGAGAACATGGAGACTCAACGCAGGAAGATCCCGGGTGTCCTCACCTGGACGCCAACCGGGAACTATATATATATATATATATATATATATATATATATATATATATAAAACATCCTCACCTTCTTGTGGACCCTTAAAACAACTTCAAGGACCCTTGGAAACCTCCAAAGGATGCCTTGAACTTCTTCATGGGTGTAGAAACATCTTCATTATCCACAGAAACCTCTTCAACGATGCAGAGAACCTCCTTAAAGACCACTGGATCCTCCTCCATGACCCTTGAAAACCTCCTAAGGACCACTGGAGCCTTTTCAAGGACCCTTGAAACTACCTCCAAAACTTGGCATCTCCCATAAAACAGGAAACCCTGGACTTGGTTCCATAACCCCTGGAATGACCCCAGTGACTCTCCTTCAGGCAGAGAGGGGCCTGCTGCTGAAACTGTGGAACAAAAACCATCAGCTCTAAAATCCAGGCTCACAAATGTCCTCAAGGACACCTTGTGGATCCTGGAATGAACCCTGGAGAACCCTGGAGGATCCTGGAGCCTCGTGGAGGCTCCAGGATCCTCTGTGTCCTCAGTGAACCTCTTTAAAACGAGCTGCTGCCTGCAGATCCGTTTTTATCAGCAGTAAACATCACGTGACACCGTCGTATAGAAACACATGAAACATGTAGAAACAAAAGTCAGGAACGAGAAGCAGCTGCAGGAGCTCCACAGGCCGCCGACAGAGGGCGCTGCAGGCCGCTGCTGCAGCTCTGCCCTCCAGGTGAAGCTCCAGGTGAGAGGAGCGTCAGTATTTGAAGAAAAAGCATAAAATAAGTGAAACAAACACAACTGCAGTGAACCAGAGCTGCTCTGCTTCAAACCGCCTTTATTCCATCAGACGGTCACACTTCAACAGATCATGAGTCTGTTAGAGACTCGTGCCTTTTACAATGTGCCCATAAACTGCTCCTCAGAACTGCAGGGATGGACCCGAACCCCGTCCAGAACCCTGCAGTTTAACGGCACAGCCCAGAAACACAGTAACATTAGTGTAACCGGTTTACATCTGGACCAGCGGCTCAGTCAGGAGGAGCTTCTGCGCGTAAATACGCAGAACGCGAAGTGCGGTGCTTTGGACTGGTGCCGAATCACTGACAGACTCTGAGTCCTGCAGGATCTCCGATGCTGTTCGTGTTTCCCGTCCGGAATCAGAACGGCACTGAATTCAGTTCGGGACCAAACGGAGTTCTGACGGAGGAGCAGCTCAGGGCGCAAATTCGAGTTTCACTCAGTTCGTCTCCGAAAAACGATCCTGAGCAGAAGCGGAGGGTTGAAGTCAGGACTCAGTGTGTGTGCGCGCGTGTGTGTGTGTGTGCGTGTGCCCGCCCACTCTCCCTCCTGCTGCTATATAACCGCACTTTGACAGCTCGCAGTTTACTGAGCAGGAGAACAGCCCGACAGCCTGCAGCCCGACGCCGCTCCTCTCCGCTCCTTCTCCCGCTAAACCGTGTCCGTGTGTCCGAGCTGCGGGTCTCCGCTCAGCGCATGTCTGCAGCTCTGTAGCCCCCCTCTCACCTGAGCCTCTCCAAACTGGATTCCCGGAGCTCCTCGCCATGCCTGCCCGGGTTTAGATTCTCCATGGAGCTCTCTAACCTGTACGAGGTCGCGCCCCGACCCCTGATGAGCAGCCTGACCCACGGCCAGCAGCCCTCCTCCGGCTACAGAGACCCGGCAGACCTCGGCGGTGAGATCGGAGACAGCGAGACCTCCATCGACCTGAGCGCCTACATCGACCCGTCGGCGTTCAACGACGACTTCCTGGCCGACCTGTTCCACCACAGCTCCCGGCAGGACAAGCTCAAGATCATGAACGGGGAGTACGACTCGGTTCCGTGCGGCCCGGGGCCCCAGCAGCTCTACATGTCCAACTACATGGAGTCCAAGCTGGAGCCGCTCTACGAGCACAACCCGCCGCGCCTGCGCCCGGTGGCCATCAAGCAGGAGCCGCGGGACGACGAGGACCCGAGCCCCGGCCTGCCGCCCATCTACCACCACCCGCACCCGCACCCGCACTCCCAGCAGTACGCGCAGCATCCGCAGCAGCAGCAGCCGCAGATGCCGCACCTCCAGTACCAGATTGCGCACTGCGCGCAGACCACCATGCACCTCCAGCCGGGACACCCGACGCCCCCGCCGACCCCGGTGCCCAGCCCGCACCAGCACCACCACCAGCACCCGCACCAGCACCCGCAGCAGGGCGGCATGAAGCTGCTGGACCCGCAGCGGAGCGGCGGGAAGCCCAAGAAGCACGTGGACAAGAGCAGCCCGGAGTACCGGCTGCGGCGGGAGCGCAACAACGTGGCCGTGCGCAAGAGCAGGGACAAGGCCAAGATGCGCAACATGGAGACGCAGCAGAAGGTGGTGGAGCTGACGACCGACAACGACAGACTGCGGCGGCGGGTGGAGCACCTGACCCGAGAGCTGGACACGTTACGGGGCATCTTCAGGCAGCTGCCCGACGGATCCTTCAAACCTCTGGGCAGCTGAGAGCCGCCGAGCCGCTGCAGCCGGACGCAGCTGGATTTACGCACCGAGGCAGCTGCTGTTCACTGCAAAAACACGAGGCTGAACGTGTCCACACTGAAAACTGCACAACTGGCGACATGTGAGCCCAACAGGCGGACTTTATCTCTTTACAAACTGGAAACTCATTTCAGGATTTTCCCTCTGAGACTGGAAGCAGCTGAACTCAGATCAGCTGCCGGAGCCGCGTTCAGTTTTCTGTTTTTGCAGTGTTCGTGTGCCTTTGAACTGTTGTGCAGAATAAGCTGGTTCCACAGCGGACTGATAGATTTGTGCCTTATTCCCGAACAGACATATCAGAGCAGCTAAGGTAGGGCACGGTGAGCGCGCACGGTGAGCGCGCACCAGCCTGTTGTGCATGTTTCTTCATTATTTGTGTTTTATACAGTTAGAGTCTCTTATAAAGCGCTTCGTGGCTTCATCTGTGTTTGTTTCTTGCTGGATTCCTGCAGTTTGTCCTGTGAGAGGCGCAGGGCTGCAACAACACAACTCCACCTGCTACCTGTCACACAGAACCATTCCAACAACAAACACGGTGTCATTTTCTGCTAAATCTCAACTACTTGTCCTGTTTGTGCTCTAAAACATGAACCTGCTGTTTGTGCAACCAGCCCACCTGGAGCTCCACTTATTCTGGCCGAAGGACTCAAATTTGACTCAACTAATCTGAAAAGTTTTGAATCTTGACACCAAAATGATGTAATTTTTAGCCAAATCCCAGCTGCTCCAGGTTCTTCCCTCTGAAGAGTGAAATGTGACATAAACGATCTGATGTGACACAAAAACGCAGCTTTTAGACAAAACCTTCATTTTCTAAGAGCTGATGAAACAGATTTTCCTGAAGTGCAGCCCTGCCTCTGCTGATTTCATGCCAAAGTGAAATATAAAGTGTGTATGAAAAATGCGAAGACTGGAATCTAACCTGTGGTACCTGCTGCTGCGGCGGCCGGCAGCGGCCTCCGCTGAGGCCCGACCAGCTCTGGATGCACTAAACGATGGGTTCTGATATCTGACAGAAAACTCTGTGTGCACATACGTGTTGCTGAAAACAGAATGTGAACAGGGTCTCTATGCAACGTGTCTCTTCCTCTTCGCCGCCGTCGACTCGTGGTGCCTTCTGATCTGACCTTTGACCTCTGGCCAGCTGTTTGAGTCAGCAGGAAGAAGGAAGCACTTTGCTGTTGTTGTTTTTTATTTTTACAAACTCTGATGTTGTTCCAAACTTTACGTCTCAATTGTAAAATAAGCCTATATATAAATATATATGAATAAATATATATATAAAATACCAAAAAATCTGAAGTATTATAATAAAAGAAGCTTGTTTTAACAGAATCTGTTGGTGGTTTTGGATTTATTCTCCTTCAGCAGCAAAAACACTCATCAGGACTCGTTTCTGAGTCGACATCCAGCTTTCCTCTCATACACGACGAGCCGTTCCCTCACAGTGAAGCCACCTCCTGAGGTTCTGACAGATCGCTTTTGTGTCTTGTGTCTACGTGCAGGTTTTAAACACTAACTGATCAAATCTGATGCACAACAGTTTAATAAAGAGCCAACTTCCCTGCGGCTCAGATTTTACTCCAAAGTGTTGTGATTCTTTCTGCTCATGTTTGTGCGACGCTGCACTCTGGCACGTGTTCCCCGAGTTTGTCCTTAAAGGCTCCTGTAGATTAAAGTCAAACTGGAAAAGTAACAGTCAGAGACTTTCAGCGTGTTTTAGAAAATCTGCGTCTCTTTTACGTCCATTTAAACTTTACATAAAACCTGTGAAAACATTCTGTGGTGCTGTGATTGGCTGGTTTGTAGCAGCATCACACTTTTCAGTCAGAAACGGAGCTCGAGCATCAGCGTGAAAACGTTGGATTGTTCTCAGTATTCAGAACATTACAGCAGGAAGGAAAAGCTGCTGCAGCCTTTCAGAAACATAAAGCTGCTGCCATCTCCATGAACTAACTGGTGGATAAAGTTACCAGAAGGCAGCAGGACAAGTTTGTGAGGTCCAGATCTTGCTCCTGCTGCTCAGCGTTTCCCTCAGCGTTCACATGAACCCTTAGAGCCCACAGTTCCATCGTCCTGCAGGTCTCAGTGTTCTGACCCACAATCCTCCTCAGCAGCGCCTCTGTGAGCATCAAGGAGCTGCTCAGATGTTGACGTCCAGACTGCATGAGACAGAGAAGTATGAAATTAGAAATGCTGCAGGGTGTTACCTGCGAGGCCAGACTCGGGGACCAGAAGCTCCACAGACTCAGAATGAACAAAGTCAACAGTAAATGAAAAGCTGAGCAGGAAGTCATGTGATCCCAGATTCTTTTTTCCAACATGATGTTTATTTGTGATTCAGGTCATTTTTAAATGACAGACATTTAAAAGAACATCCTCTCAGACACACAAAGCAGATTTACCAACGAGGACACTGACAAACGGACACGTGACACGCCAGCAGCACGTCGATGGTAGTTTGTGTCTGTACGTGGTTGTTTGGTGAAATTTTATGTCATTTTACGCTTACGTTTGTTTCTTTGTGATCATTTTGTGTCTTTTTGTTGCCTTTTTTCTCCAATTTGTACTGGATTTGTATAAACTTGATCTTGTTTTGTGTCTCTGTGGACTTCATGTGTCTGTGTATGCTCATT